ACGGAACCGGCTTGAGGTGAGGCTTGGCATAAAGATGAATATCAGAGGTGCAATCGACTCGATTCGAATCGATTCGAATAATTAAAACAACTCACCTGTTGACGGCCGAGCTTGGAATTCTCTCCTGAATACCATAGAAATCCAATGAGGGAGAGAAGTCAGTGCTGTACCTTCAATTAACACTCTTGATAATAGGCTTACCTCATTGCGATCGATCGATCGATCGATCGATCGATCGATCGGCCGATTGGATAAAGAACTCCTCCTACCGGTATGCATACCACTCTTGTCGGCCAAGCTTGGATTTCTTTCCTGTTTACCATACGAATTCAATGAGGGAGAGAAGTCAGTGCTGCACCTTCAACAATGGATTTGGCTGGACCTGTACTAGTACCTGGTACCGGTACGTGCGCATGGGATGAGTTGGTTTAACCTTAACCTTACAACCTTCAACGGTTCTTTTTATCCACGAATCGATCTAAATGTTAAAACACGTTAAATACAGGTTTGGTACTTACGGATACACATGACCGTTGATTCTGCAACTGAAGTGCGGGTACACTAATTTACACAGTAAACGCGAGCCAATCGATTTCAGAGTGCAACTGAGGGGGTAACCAAAAGGTGCGTCGTCTCATGGAGACGTAATAGGAAATAGGAAATAGGAAATTGAAAATAGGAAATAGGAAATAGAAAATAGAAAATAGGAAATAGGAAATAGCATTAAAGGGGTTGAGAACTCAGGCAGTTTACCTGCCGAGGATAAAAGATTTATGAATTCATAACTTCGCAAAACCGAAACAAGCATGCACCGCCATCACATGCAATACTGCACTACTAGCTGTACCTGGTAGCTAGTATTGGTAGGTGAACGTTCATAGCATACAGTACCTTTACTAGTATATTTTCTGCGCCACAGGTGATAAGGATGTTGTCCTAAAGATGTTGTCCCAGGAGGCCAGACCTCTCAGGTAAATATCTTCTCCCGCCAGGGCAACTTCGGCGTGGTAGACAGAGTCGCAGCGGGCAAACTTTGCTTGCTGGGATTCTCTTTTGCTGCCGAACCGCTAGAATCAACTTTGCCTCACTCTTCACAAAATACCGTGCCGAAACTTCAACTAGCTGCAGGCGCGGCCACCAGTTCTGAAGCAAAAACTGCCACTTACCCCCGACCTTGCGAGTCCCAACAAGCGTCATAGCGTGCTTTTCCACCAAATCGTTTCCAATCTCCTCTTGGTCAAAAAAGGGGATACTGGTTATCGTGCCTTCGCCGTCCACAGTTGCGGTTGCATGCTTGAAAGCTCGGTTGACCTTGAAACAATGGACCGTGACAAGGGCAGGCCCATACTCTTCGAGGTCCCTCATTTCTCATCCGTCAAAGCGCTGCGAACATACTTGGCAATATCAATGACCTCAACCCCCTCGCACCATCTGGTACGACTGGGCGACCACAGCAGCGTGTACCCAGCACGTTCCCTCTAGCTGAACACGCTGAATCCAACGAGACCCAAAATCTCTAAAACTATTCCAAGAGTTGGGATCATCGTCGCCATAAGCAGCAGCATATGACTTCACCGGAGGGATGGCGACCGACTGATCAACATTCTTGATCCGATCAACCAAGCCACTTTATTTCGATGCCTTTGATCGATACCTTTACCTTCACCAAGATGGTGTTAATCCTCTCTACAGCGGCTACTCCTTTTGAAGGTTGGCAAACAGCGGCAGTAGCTCTTGGTTCATGTCTCGCAGGATCGCGGCTTGCAAGATGAGCGAGAAAAGTCGAATTTGGGTGTGAAAGATTCATTCGATTCATTCGATTCGATTCAAATCAATCATTTCGATCGAAGATTCATCATTCGACTGTCCTCGATTCGATTGATTCAGATCGATTCCAAGGCAACAAAGCCTTATGCATACGTGCCGGTAAATCCTGAGACGTGCACTGATAGGTGAACTTCACCGTATCAATTGACAAAGACTTAGAGCTAATCACGAGTTAGTCATTGCTTCTTCTTTTATTTAACCCTCACTTGCTCATTCTTGCTGCACCTTTCTATTTACTTTCGCTCCTCTAATCCCTTACCGTAGGGTACAGTGGTACTTGCGCCAAATTTTTACTGTACTTCTTGCCCGAGCAAGGTCTCCAAAGGTGACCAACAGCTGACCAACAAGACAATACAAGGCATCCGAAAGGGCCCAACCAATTGGCAATACGGTAGTGGAGTAGGTCCTCGAGTCTGGAGAACATGTACCGGTAGGGTAGGTACGGTACGTGAAGGGGCCCAACCAATTTGCAAAAGAGGCATGTGTCCCGTACGGTAGTTATTACGTACTGGTAGTCACCCGGCAAGTACAGCTCAGAACGAAGCCTGTGGTGGTTGAGGATCTTTCTTGGGCTTCCAATCCGGCAAACAGGGTATCTTGCTCAAGGATCTGCTCACTTTTCTTTGCAAAGGTCCTTTTTAACACTGCTCTATTTCACTCAAGCTAGTAGTGCTCAACCAACCAACATGATGAAGATTTTCTCTGCTCTCTTTTCCTTGGCAGCATTGCCTGCCTTTACCTTGGCTGGTGATGTGGTTCCCATCATGAGCATGTATGTGCCTCTCCCCGAAACGTCCCTTTTGCATGGCGTCTTTCACGTGATCAAATCGAACGCGAGGGCTCCCGTGACCACCATGATCTCGATTGCCGTCTCGACCGACGACACTGTCATCTGGTACGACCACCATGAGAGAGATGGATATGACACTGACGGTTCCGTTGCCGCCTCTACAAGGGTTTGGGGAGATGGAGATTCCGGTAACGGCTGTGCCCCTGGAGTATCACCTTGTACGGACGCGACGGATGTGCTCATTGCCGGACAGGTGATCATCCTCAAGAATGAAGTTCCCGTTCCTCGTGGCAATGCCATTCTGTTCGATGGAGGTGACAAGATCAGTGCTTCGCTACCCATTGCTGTCACTCGTTCGGCGTATCCCTCGGGCGAACCAGGATCCATGATGGCCGGAGCTGTCGAAGTCATTGAACAGGAACAGTGGGGAACCAGATTCGTCGCTCCTGTCGGACAAGATGTGGGCAGTGAAACCGATGCCTTTGAGTATAGTGCCTTTGCTATCATGGCCGGAGATGAAGGAGCTACCATTAGCTGCCCAGGTGAATTCAAGACTCTGGCACAAGGTGAAGCCGTCGTCATTCGCGTCGATCAAGGCTGGGAACTCACGTCGGACAAACCAATCCAAGTCGACCTCATCACGGGAGACATTGGTTCCACCTATCAGCTCCGATGGTATTCCCTGGTTCCTGTCGAGCAATGGTCCAATGAGTACTACGCTCCCGTGGGTGACACCAAGGGAGAAACCAAGGTCACCATCTACAACCCTGGAACTCGCAGGATCACCGTTACCTGTACTTTGCCCAACCCCAACGATTCTTACACGTTCCGTGTTCCAGCGAAGAGCATCCGATCCTCTGAAATCATTCGCGACGGCGACGGTGCCAAATTCAGTGCCGGGGCCGGTAACAATTTCTTTGCCTTTTCTTCTACTGACACGGAGGGCGGTGGTCAAATCTATGATTGGTACGTAATAAGAAAGAACGAGCAGCTGTCTCTGTCTGATTTTCTCCTGCCTACTGACTAACCATGTTGCATCCATCTGTCTCACGCCGCACTGCAGGGGCTACCCTCTTATCCCGAGCGGATCCCTCACCAATGAAGTCGTTGTCGGCCTTGGCTACGGGTGCACGGATATGAACTGCAACGGCGACGGCGAACGAAGTGTTGTCTGGATCACGGCCGTGTCGGATGCCACCATCCACGTCGACTACAACAATGACGGAAACAATGTGGCCACCAAGAGCGTCCGCGCCCTCGAGTCTGTCTACTTTACCGATGACAATGACGAAGACATGTCCGGAGCTCGTATCTGGGCGGAAAAGAACGGAGAGCCCGTCAACATTGCCGCTGCGTGGGGACAAAAGGCTTCTCTTTCCAAATCGGGAGATGACTATGCCCTGGATCTTGGAACTGTCATTCTTCCGTTTGAACCCACACGTACCAGTTGCTCTGTGGATATCAAGGAAGACAGGGATGGCGACGGTGAGATCAGCGCCGGAGATATTGTTGTTGAAACCATTGAAGTCTTCAACGTGGGAGCCATGCCCGTCTCTGAGGGAAGCATTGCTGTCGAGACCTTGGGAGGAACTGTCAATGTCGAGGCAACCGATGGACGTGGTGGCACCAAAATCTACACCATCGAATATGAAGTGCCTCCTGGAGTTTCGACGGTCACCGGAACTTGCGAGGTGGTACCTGCTCCGCCCACAACGTCCCCCACATCCTCACCTACTGGAGTACCCACGGTGTCGCCGACGGCAGGACCTACAGGAGGACCAACGGCAGGACCCACAGGAGGACCCACTGCGTCGCCAACAGCTGGACCTACAGGAGGACCCACAGGAGCGCCCACAGGAGGACCCACAGGAGGACCCACAGGAGGACCCACAGGAGGACCCACTGCGTCGCCTACAGGAGGACCCACAGGAGGACTCACAGGAGGACCCACTGCGTCACCAACAGGAGGACCCAATGAAACTCCCACGGAAGCCCCAACGGATCCACCTGCTCCAGACCAACCTACTCCTGGTGACAGGACCATTACTGATGCTCCAGTTGTCTTTGTCAAGGGAGATCCTCATTTCAAGACGTTTGGAGGAGAGCTGTATGACTTCCATGGAGAATGTGATCTCGTCTTGCTGCACAACCCTCAGTTCATGAACGGATTGGGCATGGATGTCCATGTGCGCACAAAGATTGAAGACTTCTGGAGCTCTGTGGAAACTGCGGCCATCAAGATTGGAGATGACACTTTGGAGGTTCGTGCCAACCCTGATTCTGACGAGTGGATCTGGATCAATGGAAACTTGGTCACCGGTATTGAAGAAGGAAAGTTCCACAGAGCTAGCATCGCTGGATTCTTGATTCGATACAAGCAAACCAGTCCTGGAGTTCGAGAGGCAAACATCCATGTGGAAGGATCCAAGGAAAGGATCCAGTTGAAGACTTTCAAGTCCTTTGTCCGTGTGGACATTCCCTGGATTGAATCTGTTCACTACGTTGGCTCGTCTGGTCTTTTGGGAAGCTATGACAACGAAGGAAAGCGCCTTGGACGCGATAACAAGACCTTCATCAAGAACCCTCACAAGTTTGGACAGGAATGGCAAGTCACTGATGATGAGCCCAAGCTCTTCCACAGCTACGAGGGTGCAATTGTTGGCGACAAGTGCAAAATGCCTCCTGTTTACACTCGCGAGGCTGCCGCAGAACTGCTGCGCCGCAAGCGACGATTGGCAGAGTCCAACATGACGGAAGAAGATGCTGAGAAGGCTTGCAGCCACCTGAGTGATCCCGATGAGGTCAAGTCATGTGTCTTTGATGTCATTGCAACTCAGGACTTGAGCATGGCCAGCGTCTGGTAAACATACCATTGCTGGCTGCAGTGGGCAGTCGCGGGTAGGTTTGTAAGAAAGCCTGAACAGACAGGGAATCGAAGTCAATATCCCCCAGGGCATTTTCGTCAGTAGCCTACATTAATTTAATTAATGCATGTTGATTTACTTTGAGTCATGTAGCCAGCTAGATGTAGTTTGACGAGCGGCACAGAGCAAACTTAAAAGTGGAAACTGGTACGTTGGAATTTGAGATTGCGAGGAAGAACCAATCGTTCTCAAGGGCTAGTAGCTAGATCCACTCAACCATGACATAGTACCTAGCTAGCTAGCTCGCTCCTCCATCCCGGATACAGTTGTACATTGCCTCCATGGGACCTCCACAATGCTTTTGTCCCTTGTAGGAACCCACTCCCATGAAGGATTGGTGACACAGTGTGTATTCCTTCTCTTGCGGCTTGCATTGTGACGAAGCCTTGACTTGACATTTGAGCAATGCCAAGAGCGCATTGGTTTTCTTGTCACCCGTCGCCTCCAAGTCAATCTTTTTCTTCTTTTCGACCGACTTGAAATCTCCCATGCACTTGTCGTGAATGGTGGCGGCAGGCAACGCCTTTTTGCCTTGAACAATCGTCATTTGTTGCTTTTGTGGTTGACTAGCTAATTCGTTTGCAGCTACCAGGTATCGTCAGGCAGATTCTGAGGAAGCGACTGGAAAGCAACAGTAGTAGTTTGCCGCCACTCAGTTCACCACAAACGAAGCTTTCGGGACATTGGATCATACGATTGGACTGGGATAGCTCGAGGGTCCCAAATTTCAAAATCGTGACCAATCGCACCACCAGGTATGAAAAGCCCTACTAGGAATCCTTTCATATTGTTGCAGCCAGCCGGCAGATTGCGAGAAGCCCCGTGTATTTTGTTGGTTTTGTGGCTGCATGCTATGCACGCGGAAGCCATGTCGCAAACTCTCCTGGACTGCTGCGCAAAAGCCTCCTTTGCCCGCTCGCATCAAACCACCAAAGAGCACCAAAATGGCAGTCCATGATCCGCCAAAGAAGAGTCCCTCTGTCTGTCTACTCGTTCTAATCTTTTACTGCACCAACTGAAACAATTCTTGAAACTCCACGGTCGAATTTTGAAATCGCATAGTCTTGTCTCGCAGGAAGGATGGCAAGGCCGACTTGTCGTGCCGCCAGAAAATGGTGTTGCAACAACTGGATGCCTGGTTGCAAAGTCCGGCGTGTTGACACAAGAACCCTGCCTTGTCGCGTGGATCCGTGTTCTTTTCCACCACCACCGTTTCCACTCTTGCGCTGAATGCCTTGGCGGATGCAAACAAAATGTCATTGTCGACTCCCTCGGCATCAATTTTGATGTGGATTGTTGTTGTATTATTTTGTGGTATCAACGCCAATACGTCATGGAGGGTAAATACTTGGGCTCGGACACTGCCAATTCCTTTTTTGCAACCCGTTGCCGTATCTTCAAACACCTTGCCTTGTTTGATGGTTCCGCAATAGGCACTTTCGGAGAGTTGGAATTCGACCTGTCCTTCGGTCGGGCCAATGGCGGCTTGAATGGCAAACACTCGTTTGGTAGTGTCGGGCGATGCAATGTAATCCGCCAATGGATCGGAATGTTGCATCGTGTAATCGAGGGCCCGTCGGGCAATGGGAACGTAGCCATCGTAGAGTGGGTCAAACATGATGAGTCCCACAGTGGGATCTCTCATGCGAGTGACCATGTCTAAAAAGTATGCCGGTTCTTTGGCTCCCACATCAATTAAAATGGTCGTGACAGTGGGAGGAAACATGATTTTTCCCGTGACAAAGTCAATTGGAAAAAAGGCCGGTGCTACCTGGTGGAGTAGTGAGGATGATGATCTTGCACTAGTAGTAGGTGACGCCTTTGCAGTTTGTGTTTCACCTGGTATTTTCTTGTTTAGCAGCCGTTCAGTTGTTTCTTCGATGGAGTCTTGTAGTTCCGTGAGAGCCGTTTGTACCTCCGAGTTATCCTTGTTGTGTTGTTGCAATGCCTGCATCTTTTCCAGAGAAGCTTGTACTTGCTCCAAGAGCTTGTCTGAAATAGCCTGTTGCTGGAGGAGTTGCCGTTGGTGTCTCTTGTCCCACAATGCTTCCCATTGCTGTTGCTGACGGCTAAAGAGACGCTGCTGGGATGCCTGTGTTTCGGCAATGGCATGATCCACATGCCATCGTATCTGATGCTGCAGAAACGTGGACTGCAGAGACAAAAAGAATATCGACAAGGCCAACCCCGCCAATAAACTGCTTGTGTTTGTACTTGTATGACTTCTCATGATGACATGTTTTGTTTACAAGTGCGATGTATCGTATCGTGACACTGTCTCACCAATACAACGCCCGAAAACGATCAGGTTCCGGTGATCTTTGAATCTTTGTTGACGGGGTGATGAATGCATGAATGAGGTGCGCCCTGATCTTTTTTGGTACCAGTATCTTCGTCCTGCTCTTCGTCCTCACAGACATGTCGTCCTCCTTCATCCTTCTCATCAATAGATCTTCAATCTGCTTCTTTCTTCCTCGCCACGATAAAAGAATATGGAACATGACTGGTCTGTAGAAAAACACGTCAGTGAGTGAAAGGCATAAATGAAGATCATAACGGCATTTACATTCGGAGTGCTCGTGATTCAGCCTTCTTTTCCTACTGTATTCTCTACAGTGACCAGTCCAGGCTGTTTCTTTTGGAAAGAGCAGTTCTCACCCCCGCTTTGTTTTCATAGGGGGAGAATTTTGATCAGTGTTTCTTTTCTCAACTCCCCTAAACTTTGGGGGTGGAAAAGGACATTCTCATTGTCACAGCAAGAGCTATCTTGTCACCCACCGGACTTCTTTGCTGCAACCTCTGCCAGCAGTGACTGTATTGCTGCCACCTACTTGTACTACAACATGTTGTTGCTGTTGCCACCATACCAGTCCACTGATAACGCCAGCTAGCTAGCTAGATCGTCGTTCATTGTACATGTATCATCCCCTCTTCAAGTCTTCAAGAGCAGAAGAGCACTGAACCGAACATTGAAACGCTTTGGCTTGTTGTTGTTGTTGTTCCAAGATTTGTTGAAGTGACCACAGTCTGCGTTATCTTTGGCTGTCTGTCATACCTTGGGTCCTTCGTATCCCACACACAGGTCGCAGCAATATCGGTACCACTCAACCTGTACCAGTACCATTCCCTCTCTTTTTCTTTGTGCCAGTTACCCTTCTTGTCAGACGTGATTGTGATACCCCCACAAGACAACACATAGAACAAGTCCACACAAGACAAGACAATATATAACAGAACTTCAAGACCAAGATGATACTACTGGCCAACACATCGTTTCCTCGCTTTATCTTTGATGACAACAACAAGTTTGTTCCATCTCCCGATCTAGACGAGACATCGATCAGCGACAACGACGAAGCCGAAGAACGCGTGAAAAAGTTTGAACAATTCAAATGCCGCGAAGATCAAGATGTCGCCGTCTTTCTCTCCATTGCCAACAAGATGGATGTCTCCTCGTTGATCTTTATCTTGCAGGGACACGCCAAGGCACAAGCGTTGCCTGCCGCGGCACAAGCGCAAGCAGCGGCCAAGATTAGTGGCAAACCAACGACGCCGCAAAAGGCAGTTGCCAAACAGTTTCGATTCGCACTCGCCAACAACGACATGGTCAAATGCGTCTATCACGTCGTTCCCTCCGTCAAGGACAATCCCGACATGTGGTGGAGTGACGTGGAGATGAAACAAATTCGTGGTGCCGCCATTCAAGATGTCAAGTACTATCGCAAATATCGTGCCGATTTCCGACAAACGGTCGAATTGTTGGCCAATGCCGGTATTAACGAAGGTGTCTTTACGCATGCCACCGTCGAAGCCAATCTCAAAAAACTCATGGAAGACTCGTACGCACGCGGACTCGAAGTGCACATTGTCAATCTCTTGTCCGATTTGCGCAAGGAAACGGTGCGAGCGGTGCTCGAAGAGCAGGCGGAATGTCGCATGTGCGGGGATGCCCCCGATATTACGGCCGAATCACTGCGCGAACAATCCATGGCATACACGCTGCAGTCGCGAACATTTGCACTCAAATTGGCACAGTGTGATCAAGTGGAATCCTTAAAGGCGAGCTTGAGTTCTTCCAGTAATCGATGGGATAACAACAGCAATAATGATACCAGTATGGTCACACCCGATCCGATTCCCGAACCGCGATCGGCGTGTGCATGAACCGAGGACGACGACGACAAGACAAAGATGATGACTATACGAAAGAAGAAGATGAAGAAGAATCATACGAATAACCCCAACAAACGATTTCGGTTCGCGTAACAAACAACGGGGTGGGGTTGATGACTTGCTTTCTTTCTTTTCTTGTTGTTGTTGTTTTCATCCTTGTACTGTCCGTCATCATCATACTACCTACGCATACTCTCATGTTTTTGCCATCCAACAAACAAACAACATCATAAACCCGTCATCCATCCATTTGTTTGGTTTCCTCGATTCGATTCGATTCATCTGGAAGGTTCATACGATTACCACAACACTCATCATTTCCTGGAAGCAATGGGAAATCGCTTCTCTACCTACCATGCACTCACATCAATCATTCAGTCATTCACGCGCGCACTACCATACCATACTACGATATTGTACCACTAGGTGCCTAGCTTACAAGCAGCACTTCATACATACAGAATAAGATGCATTAAGAATTAACAAGACACAGAACGATCTACCTGCTTCTGCGATCGTAGCGATCGTGATCTTTACCAGGCGATTCGATTGCATTCGTCGCAATGGCATTGTTTCGAGTTGAGTCTCACTTTGCGACAGAGAGACATGCTACATGTAGCTATTTGCGGCATGCCTTGCTACGCCCCAGAGAGGGTACTCGCTTTCGGTTTCATTTCGTTTCATTTCATTACATGCCAGAGCTGCATGCACTCTTTCAGCGTCAGGGATGTGCTCCCGTCAGCAAGGCAGTCACCAGTTGCATCTCGAGTGGCGAAATCGTTGCCGCGTACAACTCATCACACCAACCAACAAATGAATCGAATCGCAGAAGAGCGACGTTTTGAGCATAGCACCTTACTCGCAGGAACTGCGCGGGCCGTTTGTGGGAAGGCACCTCAAAAAGCTTCTTGGTTGGTGATGCGTGGGGTTCAGCAACGGAGGAGCGACAAACCCTCAAGCGACATTTGATCGACTTTCCTACCTGAACGAGACGCTCTCGAAGTTTGCTTGGAGTGCCGAAGGAGGACGGAACCGAATGATTCACTTTCTCGACACGTTGTAACGGACGAAACGAGCAAAAGGGGGGAGCACAGGGAAAGAAACGATGCAACAAGGCAGACGAGTGACTGTGTCTGAGTGGAAGCAGCAGGGGTGCAGTCAGCGAAAGACGCGACGAACGCAAGGGGTGCAGCGAAGTGCGACGAGGAACGCAAGGGGTTCGTGCGGATGGTTGGGTTGCGCTTGACTTCAAACATTCGAGCAATACATTGATCGTCGAGCTACGAACGTGCGTCTTAGCCTGTCTTGCGAGAAACCGGTATATACAGACGAACAGCCATGTTTCAGCCGTTGTCCCTCATTCTGCCCGGGCCGTGCAACTCGCATATTCATGTTGCATCTCGATGGTCCAGCGGTTCTACGGTACAGTACGAACCGACGTTTTGCCTTGTTTCTCAGCCGGCCATGCAAGAGCACCCAAAAACCTCCAATGCGCTTGGATCCGCCTCTTCCTCCTCTAGCTCTAGCTACGTTGGTTCGTTCTTTGATTCGCGAAGATTTAATGCAAGTGGTGCGAGGTACGGTAGCGGCAACACAAAGCAAGTACGTAATCAAGCACAATGCCATTTCCGACTCCAAGAGTTGTCTCAATCATTCCATTCCCACTGCTCCATCCATCAGTGGTGCATGGTCAAGTCCAACTCTATTCGTTCGACTTCATTCACGCCAATACCAACTTCGACTGGACTCTTGAAGGCTCCAAATTGTACAACCTTCATGACACGCCAAAAGGGAGGGTTCACTGGTTATCAATAATAAGGCGGCAGTGCTATTAGTACCAGTTTACACAGGTTAGTTGAACGTGTTCAGAGTTCTCGCGACTGTGCAAGGTTGATTGAAATAACGGACAAAGAATAGACGTTATATTCACGAGGTCTTGTTTTTGATTTGGAAGAGGTTGAAGTTTGAAAAAGCCGCCAGCAAGGCAAAATGACCATCAAAGTTGTTCTTTATGCAGACTTACGGTCATTGCAATTTTTCGATCTGTCCAATCCACAGGTTAATCAACATTTTTGGCAGTACCAAAGGCAGTCCCTTAACTCCGACGGAAGCCGTCTCGTAAGATTAACTGCGAAGGCTGCCGACGCACGCGCAATGCATTTTTGTTCTGATTGATCGATGCCAGGTTGGTTGCCTCACGCAAGAGCCACTGATTTTGCTTGGCTTGGCCGGCTGAGAACATCTGGCGGAACCGCTTCCTTTCGTTTCATCACCGGTCAACGTTCGATAGACGCAAGCTCTCATTCAGTGGCGGCAACAAACAAACAAGCACAGCAAGCAAGTTGGTTGGTTGATGGCGAACGGGAGACCACTCAAAAGACAAGTCACACAAAACAAAACCTGTCCAGGCAACACACGCACACACAGCATCAAATCAATACGTCAACCAGAACCGAGTTCCAGTGTCTCTACAGTAGTCATCAAGCCTTCTCATCCGCATCAGTCTTTCCTTGCCAGGTCCTCTCATAAGACATTCATGAATCAACTAATCACATCCAGATAGCGAGACTATACATTGACGAGAGAGACGAGACTCATACAGCTAGGGAGAATGGTACATGTAGCACAAGCGCACTCACATCATCACCATGAACAACAAGACGAACAGGACCACCATGGCGAACCAGGAATGGATGCCGTTGGACGGCGTCTGTCCGTCGTTTTGAACGCGCGCAAGAGCACCTCTTGTTGCGCGCTCGTCGTGGCGTTCTTTCCCAAGACGCACAAACACCGACTGCGGTTTGACGACGATCACGAGAAGAACGTTCTGTTGCGGTCACTCGACTACAGTTGGATCGACGTGGACGCCGTTCGACTTTCTGCGTTCGAACTGGCTATTCAACGAGATGCGGTGGGACGTCGCCTGGAAGTCTTTCATCACGTCCGTCAAAAGTGGTACCAAGCCACCGTTCACAAGTACGTGGAACACTGTCAGCAACATGCCGTGGTGCTGGAGCCGCAGGGCAAGGTCCATCTAGTGGACTTGCAACAGTGTCCTTGGCGGTACACGGATCTCATTGGACCAGCAACGACAACGCGCAACACTCGCGACCTAGCTACTTCCAAGTACATGGGAGTCGTGCGGTTCACACAAGGCACTTGGAAAGCTTACTACGGCGACGACAACAAGTACATTGGTTGCTTCGAGTCGGAAAAGGATGCGGCGTTGTCCTATGACGTCTATGCGCGTAAGCGACACACTTCCGTCAACTTTGAAAATCGACGCATTTGTCGCGCTCAAATGAAGATGTTGCGAGTGGAAGAACCAGCGGCACCGAAGGAGGTCCCGTCCACTCCCGTTGTGGTGCCAGTTACCGTCACTGTGACACCCGAAGTGATTGAGTCATTGCCGGTGTTGCAGCAAGAAGAGGAGACTGCCAATATTGTCATGGCATCGTCTACTGAATCCGCGGAGGAAGAAGAGCACGCTCCATTGGAGGAGACGGAGGGACCTGCAGAGGTTGAACACCACAATGATGACAACATCGTTCGACCCGATCCAGAGGGCGTTCATGGCTCTTCAATGATGGAGGAGGAGAATGATGTTGAATGTGGTTACTCGGCGATGGTGGACGATGTTGCTGCAGACGTTCAGCAAACACAGGAATGCGCTGTCTCAACCATGGTGGACGATGTTGCATCGGGTGCTGTGCCGGATGTTCACCAAACACTGCAATATGGCGACTTTGTGAACGACGTTGCATCTGGTGTTGCGGCGGATGTTCAGCAGACACGGGAATGTGGTGACTCAACCATGATGCACGATGTTGAATCGGGTGTTTCGGCGGATATTCAGCTGACACAGGAAGATCCACCTGAGAAGCAGTCCGGAAGGGTGACTCCTACTTCCGTAACAGAGGAGGTCCATGGTCATGATGGCGCATGTCATTCTCCTCGCAGTGAGAGGGAACACCTGGGTCATGAACTTGAACAACATGAAGATGAGCCAATGTTGTCACATTCGGATATTCATTCAGGAATGGAAGCGAAAAGACGCATCAGTACAAGCAGCAATGATGGTCATCACGCTAGTGCAGCTGAAGAGGAGCATGTGATCCAGCAACAGGAGCCTGTGAAAGCTGCCCCACAAACAGTTTGTGCCAACATCTTTGAAGATTCCGAAGACGAGCGTGATTGTGGTGTTTCTGATGATGTCAAGATTACCAGCAACAACCACAAACACAGCAACAATGTCGCCGCAAACATCTTTGAGTCCGATGAGGATGACGAAGAAAGTGTGCATGTCACACCAAAGAAGAAGCGCAAGAAGAAGAAGAAGGGAAGTAGTCATCGCCATCATCGTCGTGTCATTGAGGAAACACTTTCCTCATTTGATGAACTTGATGGCAAAGATATGGATTCCTCTGAATTCCTTTCTTCTCCAACACCTACAAAGAAGATGAAAAAGATCAAACCTCCACCTTCCAATCCAAAGAAGAAACGAAAGCGCTCTTCATCACCCACTAACCCCAGATTCCCTGTTGGCACTCGTTTTGTCAAAGAATTCGAAGACTTTGGAACTTTCGAAGGGTTGATCACTGCCTACGATGGTAGACACTACCAAGTCTTCTATGCAGCTGATGGGGACGAAGAAGAACTCAGCGAATATGAGTTCGACAAGTATGAGATTCTTAGCGACAAGCAAACTACAGTCAGAGGCGCTGGTGGTTTGAATTGTCCTCCCACCCCAATAGCACAAAAGCGACAGAAGAATGGCCATATGCGGAAAAAGAAACGCCGCGCGAATGCAATTCTGGATTAGATGTGGAAAGCGTGGCTTTGTGGCATCAGAGCTCAATGTTGAGCATGGAATTGATCAACAAAGCTGTTTCCTGTCTGGTCTGGTCTGACGGGCTCTTGAAGGGTTGTTCTTACTCATTCTGAATGAGATCCATGACTGTGTCCTGGAAAAGGTGTAGGCAATCATACCGTAATCAAGCTAGCTAAGCAAAGCAATTCTCCAGATTTCTCATTGCTGTTGTCATCTTGGTGTGTGGGCATGCAGGCTGTGAAAACAACCACCACAACACGGGGGCCCTTGCTGGGCATGTTTGCATCTATGCATACATGCAACAAACACATGCAGACGGGTTTACCATTGGCAACGTTGGTTGGGGCTCCCCAGTCGCCGAGGCAAACCTCTAAGAAACCGAGCAAAGTGGATCATTGCAAGAGTACCCTCACTTGGTTGCAACATTTTGACTAGCTAGCTAGCCAAAAAGCCTGATGCACAGGGATAGCTTGGCTTCTTGGGTAGATGACAAAACCAAAGAGATTTCCAAGGCCCTTCTACCAGTAGGTACTAAAAGCTACTACATGTCTCCATCCAGATGATCGAAGCCACAGACTACAAGTATTGAAAACTAGCTCGCTGCTACCGTAGTTGGCTAGCTAGCTACCTGGTACCTCCTGATCCATAGCATAGCAAACCGGTAGCATAGCATAGAGCCTGAAGAGAAAGCTTGTGGGCAGCCAGAACCAGCCAAAGCCTGTACCTGTTTCTCGTTTCTGTTTGACTCCTGGAGGGTAAGAATTCAGATGGATCAAGCAGAAAACCGAGAGGCCCGAAGAGTCAAGCTGGGATACCATTTGCAAGCTGGCTGCAGTGGAGAAGGCACTTCTGGTTGAAGTTAGCAAAAAGGGAGAGAGAGCGTGTGTGAAGCATAGAATCAGTGGAATGAGTTGAGTAGAGATGATGATTGCTCTTGTGGATCAACGAAAAGGTTTGAAGGGTAAAAAGACTAATCAAAGATTCACTATCCATGCACAGCTGTTGTGTAATCCGACCGAACAAGGCGAAATCCAAAGAAGAAAGCAGTCAATGTTGGAAAGAATAGCACCGACATACGCCGTTCTCTGCGGATTGCAACTTGCAAATTATGATTATAAAAGACATTCATTACGAGAACATGCCCCAACGGGGCTACAGTCAAGGAAGGTATCGTCGACGGAGTTCGGCTACGGTAACCACCTTTGATGCAACGAGAATTAGGAAGAAGCAGCTTTGGCCTCGGCAACCACTGTGGTAGTCGCAACCGCCACTGCCCCATCCTGTTTCATAGGAACTTCCCTCTTGGTGTAGTAAATCTCTTTGATACTCTTTCCGCATTTTCGACAGGTCGCCATTCGATGGACAATGTCTTTCGTGTTCCACAAACCAAACAGCGCTGTCTGAGAGTGATGTTCCACTATATCCACTGATCCCGGCGAAGTACAGAACTGACAGGGACCAACGCTGGATTCTACCAGATTCTTGCTCTGTTTCTTTGTTGCGTAGAAGAAGACCATGTTGGGTTTGCTGTTGTTGTTGTTGATGTTGATGTTGATGGGAGTTTGTTTCAGCTCCTTGTTTTCGTTTTACAGTCAACATTCAGATATATATACTGGGGGGGATTCAGGAATTCAGTAAATATAACAGAGAGAATAAATATTGATTTTATCCCTAACCCTAACTATTCCCGTAGAATTGTACGTGCTCTAGTACTAAAATAGGGTTAGAGTTAAAAATGTGGGAACTGGAGTATTCTTAAATATTATAGAGCGAATAAATACAAGATTATAAATATAAGCGAGCGTTGACTGTATGTTTTTATGTTTCGGATTTTGAATTTGACAGTGAGGCTTCCTGTACCCAGTCACGCCAAACATCAATCGCATCTAAGTCCCCAGTTTCCACGACTACGCTGGCTGGCAGCGCCTCAACCGAACCGGTAGCCGTTACCGGTACCTGTCCTGACTAAAAAAAAAGCCGATCACGAGTCTCACAAGAGTTAGTCGCACACCAGCACAGCAACGAAAAGTTCTCCATCCAAACCAACACTTTCACAGCGGTACAGTCGTACTGTACAGTACCACATAAGCCCGCCCATTACCATGAACATATTGATGAACATATTCTGAGAACTTAGAGCCTGTCCAGACGGGGTTCGCGGGCAGGCCAAACTCAACGTTCGAAGGTGAAGTTTTGACCTTCTTTTACCAGTCAAAATCTGAAACACGACTTGACCACCGACCCCCTGGTCAACTTCGATATCGAAGTTGACCACCCCATCTCAGGTGAAGTTTTAGTCTTGTTATCACAGTCCCTATCGTCTTTGGGTCAATCTTGGACCAATTCGAGATTTTGGAAGAAGAAAACATCGCTAATCCAAGAAATCGCTACGTACCTCCATGGCGCAACGACTACATCTACCATGTGTTAGAATAACAGGCAACAATAGCAGGACAACTAGTCCTTAAAGTAGATATAGAGATTACTGTATTACTGTATGTAGATGTACATAGATTGCTCGCTTGTGTTGTGGTGGAGGAAGCTGCTGCAGAATTCGCCAGTTCCTCCATTTCTTCTTTTCAGTTTGTGTAGATCAATCGCGACCATGAGCAACAAGAGACCTCCTCCACTCCCTTCCCAACTATCAAGAGACTCTCCTAGTGGTAGTAGTGGAGAGGAAGATGATGAAGAGATACCCAGATCTTCAGTTGGTTTGCCATGGGCGAAAGCAACAACTGAGACCACTTCGGTTGTCCCAAAAGCAAACGTTCCTCGCAGAATTGATCAGTCGCAATCGCAACCATCAACGGCCACCCCACAGCCACCAGCAACAGTCAAGACTTGCCGTGAGATCCTCGCCAGTTGCAAGCAAGACCAGAAGAAGGCTCTCATGATGTGCATGTGCCTTGGGCTCTTAACTGAAGATGGAACTCGTTGGCTTGCTGATCTGACAGAAGAGCCTTATTGCAAGTTGTCGGCTTCGAAACTGTCCAAGTTGGCTCGGACCAAGCCAATGATGTCTGAAGAAGTTATCAGAAGAGCCCATGAACGCAAGGTTGTCAAGTGTTTCCCTCGTCCCAAGAATTGGAGGAACGAAACTCTGTACGGCCATCTCAAAGCAAATCCATCACCAGCGAAACTGACATTGCATTCCTTCGTGCACAAGAGAATGCATTTTTCCATGCTTGTGAAAACATGGTAGAGGAATCAGCGCAACAAGAAGCGGCAGAGGCGAAGCAGAGTTCGTATCGATGGACTGATGCCGATCCAAGACCATTCTATCGAATGTACTTGGCTGCCGAAGATGATCAAGTCAAGGCCGCACTGGTTGAAGATGGCAAGTGTTTGTCAAAGGCAAAGCTGGATGGTAGAAACAGTGAGGATCTGCCGATTACTTTCTTCGCGGCTCTGGCTGAGAAATGGAACAGTGACTGGGTAGCTTCGACACCAATCCTACCAACCCTCCACGGTGACTTTGAAAAGGAAATTTCGATTGGTCCAGAGGATGTGCAACAGCCAGTGACAACGGAGTACATCACCAAGAAATGGAAGAATGACAAGATGCTACTAGCCAGATTGGTCAGTCGCTACGAAGGATCTGGTCACGGCTTCGGAATGATCGATGGTCGCACAACCTTTGGCCATATGACCGAAGAGGCACTTCAAGCTGATGATAGAAAGGATTATCTATGGGAACAGTTCTCTGAGAAGCCACGGCATCTGCTTCTGTGGCATCTTTCTGATCAATTCGGTATCCTAAATCATGTCATCACCAGAATGTCGAAGGCTACCTCTGCAACAGGGGATGAGGTGGACACGAAAACGTCCAAGCCAAAGAAGTCGAGGAGAAGAAGAAGAAGGCAAAGAGAAAGAAGACGTCTGATGACAGCAGCAGTGACAGTGACCAAGATGGAGCCTTTAAGTTTCGTGCTTCCCTTGCTGATTCGCAACAGGAACAAGCGTATCAGTCAGCGATGGAGAACCTACAGAATGCTACCACTCGCTTGACTCATGACAGATTGGATCTCATGCGTCATCGCCGACACAATCCTGATGATGATGAGAGCGAACTCCTTCTTGCTGACCAAGTGCGACTTCAAGAGGAGATTGTTAACAAGTTGAAATCAAGAGTCGAGTCAATGGAGAAGAAGAAAGCATCTGACTAGTTTATGGGTGGCCTCTTGTACATTCCGTCGGCCACTATCTTATGCATTATGTCTTGTGGCAATATTCCCTGTTCCGATTCCTTCTTCCGACGTCTTTCCTCCCTCCTCAAATGACTTCTATCTACGTCGTCAAAGTGTTCGCCTCCATCCAACAGCTCTCTTGGTGAGCGGCTATCCACAACAACAACACCTCCAAGCTCAATCTCAAGCTCATCTGCCGCCAATGTATCGAGTTGGTAGTCTTCTTCTTCTTCTCTTCATATCCTGCAAACACTCCCTTCCAGTCGCCTATCAATGCAGAAGTTGTGCAAGCGACAAAGGCAAATGGCCAAGGCTGTTATCTTTGCCAACCCCATTGTTGCCGACAGAGCTCTGCGCAGAATTCCCCATCGATTTACCAGCATGCCGAAGGAACACTCTATCTTGATTCGAAGTTGCGAGTGGTAAAAGTTGTAGTCATCTTGTGTTCCTCTTGCCGTCTTGAAAGGTGTGGCCATGTAAGTGTTATTGACATATGCGCAGTCACCAAACAGACACAGCCCTGGAGCTAACAGCTTTTCTTCTAGCATATAATACAGAGGACTGGTGACAAACGCAAGATAGTCAGAGCAAGAAGCCGGATTCTGCACACACACATCTATAAATCTGGCTTCATGGTCACAGACGGCTTGTAAGTTCAACCCAAATCGCTTCTTCCTTCCGCAGAAGAATCTCTTTTGTTCTGTATCTGCAACCTCACAGTCAGCAAGATGTGGTTTTTCTGTCCAGAGCAGCATGCAAATCGATAGCTCCAACGCAGCACGTAAAGCCTGGTTGACTTCTCTCACTGAAACCTCTTGCAATTGCTTTCTGTCTGTTGTGTTCTTTAGGGAAAGATATAGCGAGCTCTGGTGCCTTGCACGTATTACAGGCATCCACTACCATCCATCCACTGACAAAGACAGATGAGTGAGAGATGCCATGCATCACGGAGATATCGTATGAAGAACCACCAGCGAAATATCGCAGTGCAACGCTGAGTCGAATGGAACTGCTTATCTTTCCATTTACAGCACCTATGTCTTGCTCCTGCTTGGTTCCTGTTCCTGTGTTGGTCTTTCTTTTGGATGCAGCATTCAGGTAAGGCTTCAATAAATGGTGCAGTGCCCAGAAGTCCTGTTCAGTCATTCGAAAGGCTCTCTTTACATACCCTGGTCCCATCTCACGAAAGATGCTGTGGACCATTCTTCTCTTGCGTTTAATAGGTGGGGTGTTATGTCTTCCAAGGCCGTCATCTTGTTCATCGAAGCCAAAGAGAGATGGATCTGCTTCCAGGAGTGTTGCCGTGAAGCTTGCCAACGTTCGCAACCTTTTGATGATTCGAGAACCATGGCCGTAGCGCCCTGCTTCAACAGCTGTTGGCTGGAGAATAAACGAGATAACAAGAAGCAACAAGAGGTACATTGCATTGACTGCTATTTTATGGTCTACTATGGTCTATTATCCTCAACAAGAGCCATGGCATTGACTATCAACAGAGGAGAGGTGCAACTCCATCTATTCAGACTCCCACGAGTTTTATCAACTCCCACTTGAAAACGTTGCCTCAAAACTTCGATTGAGGGTGCACGCGGTGTGGAGAGGGTAGCCAAGTTAACCTGTTAACTCGAGTTTTGAGGTGCACTTGTCAACTAGGATTCGAAGTTCCACCCATACCCCGTCTGGACAGGCTCTTATTCCAAACTCAACACCCCTCGCGAGAATGGCCAAAACATGAACCGGGGGGATGGAGAAATCCATTGCCCATCATCGCCCACCATTGTTTTTGGCCAGGCAACTATTGCTTACCACCGTTTACCATTGTCAACCGCTGTCTACCACTATCTTAACCACTGTTTACTGCTATCTTTACCATTGTTTACCGCTATCTTTACAACTGTTATCTTTGCTACCACTGTCAACCACTGTTTACCACCGTCTTCCAATGGAGTGGCACAGATCCGCCATGAATGGCACTGGATTTCTCCATCCCCCGGCTCTTGGAGGTTCACATAGACGACTTTCGTACCAAAAGTGAGGAATCGGGGCTGCTTTTCCCGCGAAGCTTCACTAGCTAGCTAGCGAGAAAAGTTCACAGCAGCTGGCTGGTCAGTCGCTACTGTGACGTTCGCTGGGCGCTGGAACGCTGGAACTCCATCTATCTGTACTACTAGTAGTAGTACGGTTTACATAGCACACAATTCGTTTCCTTCATGGCGGTGTCCCTACTAGTAACAACTTTCGACCAGCAATGGAGACCAGAACCCATGTTGACCAAGCCCCTATGGCAAGGTTGCCCAATGATGATAGTGAACAGACAAAGGAGATAGATAGAACTGATAGAAGTATCCCGTCAGATACTGGCGCTCCTGCTACAGCAGCTGCATCATCCAAGGGACCAACACTGACGCTTGACCCGGCACTGTTCAAGCTGTCCAAGGAAGAGAGAGAATTGGCTTTGGAAATCAAAGAATCCATTGAATGTCTCCCCGATGTTGACATGTTATCTGACTTTATGTATGCGAACATGGCCCTGGTTGGGGGTGTGGAAGAAGCAGTGGAAAAGGCCTACCTGATGCAAGAAGTTCGGGAAGAGTACAAGATTCTTCTGACCTATGAAGATGGCGTTCGAAGTCTCCGGGACATTATCGAACTGCTCCCGCTAGTGTTCATGTCCTACTCCTTTGATCTGAAGCAGGATAGGTCTGTGTTGGTCCTAGATTGCACAAAGTTCCGCCAAACCGTCTGGAGAGACCCCAAGAGTATGGAAAGGATCCTTCGAGGCGCCTTCTACATGTCTTATGCAACCTTTCCCAGTTTGGGGATTGTGAGGGCGGGGAAAACAGACATTTTTGAATGGGAGGGTTTTGAGTTAGGAATGGGAATGCTGGATGTCAAGATTGGGGGACAGATCACTTCCCAGACAATTGGAGCATTCCCAGCCAATGTCACTACAAAGTTCTTTCATACGTCCTCCATGGCAAATGTTATCATTGCCATGACTAAAAAATTGGTTCCCAAGAAAATTGGATCCAAATGGGAGTTTGGGTGTCAATTTGCAGGAGGAAGGTTGGACAAGTTCTACATGCAGCCAACTCCAGAAGTTGCCATCGAGAGAGTCTTTCAAAACTTTTGCAATGGCCTTAAAATCCGCATGGAGAGTGAAAAGATATTCCGATTGGAAGAGGACTGAACGCTGCTCGTAACCGCTGTCCAATGTCCGTAGTACCCTACGAGCACCAAGAGCCAATGACATGACAAGCAGTGGATACGTCAATTCGTGTAGAAGTACCGGTACGTCAACTAGCTACGTAACGAGTAAAAACCATTAGAAACTTTGTGTCGACAGCTCCAACCCCTTCCACAAAACCTTCGGGTTCCCCCACACAAGCTCCGAACACGCTACGAAACGTTTGGTGTTGAAGAGCGATGTCGGAAATTGAAAAGACGCCATGACTGGGAAACGATCTGACAGATCGGAATCATCCCCTTGTTTCTGCGGCGGACTACTTGGCCCGGTAGCTCCACTACCCACTACCACGGTTTCGTCGCCTTCATTGGGATCGCCTCGAGCTTGGCTGGCACTTCCCCCGTGGTTGTACAAAATCTGGTTGCGTTCCTCGGATTGCTAGTGTCACGGACATTCGCGCGCTTTGGGCATCAACTGTGGGTGGCTCGTTGTTGTGGCGGGTGGAAGGATCATTACAATGGTGGACTTTGGTATGCAGCGTGGTTTCTAAATCGTGCAACTGTTTCGTGGTCGACTCGATATTCATGTTGCCTGCTTCCCATGATGAACCGTCGCCAGCGTGCCGCTCGGTTGACGCAATTACTAGACCTACTCCTGGACTGACACCAAGCTCCGTCTCTGGTTCATCGCCGGGTCCATTACGAAACCCCAGTTCTGAACCAACTCCTGGACCCATCCCTGACAAACCAGCTCGAAACGCCAACTTAGCGCAACAGCAAAACCATCGCCCTACCGTATCTTGAAAACTCAATCCTCGAGACCTGCACCTGCCTCCATGTGGGACCTTCCAGTACGGTATATTCAGGCCAACGTCAAGATGCTTTTAATATAAAAAAAGTGGAAACACTTTCGGGACACTCGTGTTGTGGACCAACTTGTAAGGCCTGGAATGGCGAACGCAAAGGATATCACCTACCGTACGGTACTGGTACCTGGTAGCTAGCTACCGGTAGACAACGACTAGTCTACCAGCAAGAATTATTTTAGATACATGCTAGCATGTAGCAATAATAATATTATCTTTATATCTTTTCGGGTGCTCATCGCCTTACTGTACGTTGGATCCCAGCAGTATCCCTGCACAAGGGCAAGCACAAGCAAGCAACCAACCAACTGCTCAGTAAGTTGTCCTTGCTGCCTGCTTCCTGATTTGGTATTACTTGATTGCTTCTTCCGTTCCTTTACAGCCACAAAAGAGAAAATGTTGTCGGAAGAAGGCTCGTTCGACATGATGGATGATGAAGATGGCGACAATGGCATGCAGCTCTTGACGGACCAAGAGCACCTTCGTGCCAGCTCGTCGCTCTTTTCGTCGGTCGTTCTGCAGACGTTGCAAAAAGAAGAACAGGCCAAGCTGCTAGCCGGTGTTACGGAGGAACCTGACGACGAAGAAGAAGACAAAGAGGAAGATTCCAAACCATCCGAAGCGTCCGAAACGAAGAAAGGAGGGAAACAACCACGGCGACGAAGTTCTCTATTGAAAAAGACTCTCATCAAGACGTTCACTGCCAGCGAAGAAAAGACCGTCCTCAAAGTCCTCAAGCAAATCAACCAAATTGAAGAACGCCAGTATAAACATGGCTTTCGAGAAACCAACTTTACCGCCGGCGTGATGAACTGTTTTACGGTGGCCTATTTCTTTGGAGCCTATCCAGAACACTTTTGGATTGTCTATCTGGTGCAGTCTCTCTACTTTATCCCCTACAAGTTCATCAACATGATTCGAGCCAAACCACTCAATGAGGCATTTTATTATTTCGATTATTGTTGGATGATGAACTTCAATGCCATTATCAGTCTCATTCTACTGGCATCGCCCATTCCCGTTCCAATGGCTGTACGACGATTCGCCTATCGAGGATCCTTTGGGATTGCCTGTGGACCACTCCTGGGAGCCACGCTGGTACTGCCGTTTGTCGCATTTGTCTTTCACGACGTCAATACCATGACCAACGTTGTCATTCATGCCTTGCCGCCCATGTTGCTATACACCATTCGATGGCATGCCGACGAAATCATGCAAGCATGGCCCAGCATTTTCCGGCTCGACGATGAGGGCCTGCAGGATCCCCTGTACTTTCCCAACAATGGAAATCCCTTCTTTTTTCCCGGAACCGGGTTGGGCAGTATTGCAGGCAATGCCGTGTTTATATACATGATGTGGTTTGTCCCCTACACGAGTTGGATGCTACTCGTGGGGATGGATCTTCCTCGCAAAAACAGAGAGACACCACCCAAATACGACACGGTCTTTCATACCTTCTGGAGGACAGGATCGTGTACTGCCTGTGGAACCTTGTTTTGGAAACGACCCGTGGAAGTCAGTCAAAAACAAATGGAAATGGACGATTATGAAACCAGGGATTTCTTCGTCTACATGGGAGTACATGCCCTTTTGGTGGCACTCTCCATCCCCACGTTGGGATTTGCTTGCAATTACAGCAAGTACAGCCACATGACGGTCATGTTCCTCGTTCTACTCGCCGTTGTCCATCGAGGATCCCAACGGTATACCTACTACACCACCAAAATGTACAGTCGCATGATACGAAAAGAGTTCTTGTCGTCGTCGTCGCCAGACAAAAAGTAGCTCGTAGAGAGTTAGTTTCAAAACCTTTTGAAACATAACGATAAACAGCGGCAATCATCATTGACAATGTGAAACTTCTTCAAGAACAATCTGAGAGAAACACACGAAAACACATATCTGTACGAGTTGGTACTGCATGGGACACGCAAACTAGACTGCAACTCGCGAATCCACTCGATTGATGTCACACTGTCTCGACATCCTGTGATACCCAACCCCGCCAATGGGGGAGTAAATCAACCTCAAATCAGTGGCACTCTGCCACAAACTAGGCTAAACATTTCAGACGCACCGGGGGATGGGCAAATCTTGCAATAGCCCTGTATTGTAATGGAGTGAGACTCGCCAAAATCAGTTAAAAAGACGAAATTCGTATTTTTGCCAGAAGATAAATTTAATTGGATTGCATTTGATTGGATTGCATTGAATTGGATTGAATTGGATTCCAAATAGTACTGTTATTTATATAGTAAACTATAATTCAATGCAATGCAATCTAATCCAATGCAATCCAATCAAATCCAATAGAGAAAAACAGCCAAAGTAAAAGATTGGCTTAGAGAACACAATTTAAAAAAAAACGCTCTAACAAATTCAACACAGAGCCATGGGCAAGTTTGCTCATCCCCCTGTACAGTGCCAAGGATGCACGAAAATTTCGTATCCAAAACAAGAGATGTGAGAAAGATCCTGATATGTCTGGAATCTCATAGTTTAACAACGAACGATGAGGTGTGATCCAAAAACAGTGGCTCAAATCCTCTGGGGACCTTCCCAGGTTGGCAAATCTTCCTTTGTTAACCTACTCCTTGACCAGCGTGGTGACCAGCATATGGTAGGCAAAGCAACCTTCGTATCGATGCTGTTTGATGCTCTTTGCGTGCGTTCAATGTCTCACCTTTCTTGTGCCAGGCTCGAGCTCTTGTTGGAACTGGCAATGGCCAATCGGTGACAACGGATGCTTGTCTCTACCAAGTTTCACGATTCAATCTTGCTGATATGGGCGGTTACGGCGACACATTGTTGCGTTTCACTCCAGATGAAATGGCCGCGCGTGCTAGTGTGAAGCTTGCTGGTGAGTCCATCTCTGCGGTTCAAGTTCTTCTATTTGAAAGTGTATGCAATGATACTATGAATGTTCTAATCTCCCTGGCAAAGTTGGTGGAAGGCTTTGGGGAGAAGGTGGTGAACAGTGTTCTTGTCGTTGCTACCAAAACTGATGCGGTTTCTGAAAGACGGCTCAATCAACGCCTCGAGGTGATCAAAGAGGCGCTTCAGAAGGCAGGGATCCCCCAGGATCGCTTGGTGCTGTGGCGTAATGAAGATTTCGAGGACGACGATACGGTGGAAAGGCAGATCCAAGAGCTGGAGGATGCTTTGTCGTACGTCTCCCCGGTTCGCTTTGATCATCTGCAAAACTTGAACACCCGCATCACGGAGAGAGCTCAAGAACTGTGCGATAATCAAGAAACTCTATACAAAGATGTGGAAACGAACTTACTAGAGTCGTACGTGGGCCAAGAGGCGTGCACTATCCAGGTACCCGTCATTGAGCAGCAGGAATACACAGAGAGTGTTCCTCGTGTTGTCGAAGGTGGCATTGGGCACATCGTGGACGACATATCTGAGGCGCATGGCCGAGGATTTGCAATTACTGCTTCTGTGTTGACCCTGGGCTTGATTAATCTATACGGTGTTAGACGCAATCCAGACAAAATCGTTCATTACGATGTCGTCAAAACGAAGGATGTCATCAGTCTTAGAGAAGAAGTACGACTTCGCAACGTTACCAAGTATCACCAAGTTACCAGATCCAAGAAGGTGGAGCTCGAGCCTTTTCCAGTGGAACACTTCTCACTAGAGGCTCGCAGACAGATCATTCTGGAGGCAGCCAGTGCCATCACTGGATAGAAACTTTGCAGACGATGACAGCCAGAAAAAAGGTTTTCGTTCAAGTTGTGGCAAGATACTTCAACAGCAGTAGTCTTTACACCGGTGCGCTTGGGGAGCCTCTTCTTTTGCTCGAGTGGGCTATTGTAAACTTATCATCCGTCGGAAACATGTGAGACATCATATCCCTTGGTCAACCCCTGGTCCATGCCAACTGGGGAAGTCTTGCTGCATCATACTAGTGTTGTAGAAGTATTCTAACGCCAAATCGATTGATACCAAACATGCCTTGTCTCGTTTCCTTGATTCTCTTGGGTTGATTCATCAACTTGAGTTACTAACAGACCGTATAGCCATTCCAAGGTTAGCCACCAATCAACTTTTGGATTGCCACGAGACCTTCTTCGATTGTGTGGGTAACATGAAACACCAGATCTGAACCAAGGAAGCAAGGAAAGACTGCATCATTGGCGGTGGGTACTAGTGTAGGAAACGGAGTAGGAAAGCGACTAGGAACGGGTGGTGTTGGGGCGATTCCGTAACTAGCTAGCTAAAATGTTAGACGAAAGTTGGATTGCCTCCTCGAGACTCACCACGGTCCACGGGGCGGTGCATCCACAGGGGCAGCCTCTTACACTTCGACCATCGCTACTGCTTCTTTCTGGCCTTCTTTCTGGCCTCGTGCTTTCGCCGCTTGATCAAAGATGTCTTCGCCAGCCTCTCCACCATCATTTGCTACCTCAGAGCTCTCAAAGGTGTCATTGTCTTTGTCACTGGAAGGGCTCTCATCTGTGACCATCCTAGTCTTCTTCTTTGGGCGGCCAATGGATTGGCCGGTGCTGCTCTTGTGTTTGGTGCCGCTCTCCCGGTCCCTGCGATAGTCCCTGCGTTTGATAATCTCCCCCGGAATCTCAGCCGGCCTTGGGGTGGGCCTTGGGGTCGGGACTGGTGTTGGGGGTGAAGCTAAGGATGGAGCTAAGGACGGAGCTAAGGATGGAGCTGTGGTGGATGGAGCTTTGTTGGGTGCCTTGGTGTGTGCTTTAGTGGGTGCCTTGGTGGGTGCTTTTGTTGGTGCCTTGGTGGGTGCCTTTGTGGGTGCTTTGGTCGGTGCTTTAGTCGGTGCCTTTGTGGGTGATTTGGTCGGTGCTTTTGTTGGTGCTATAGGTGGGGCTCTGGTTGGGGCTCTGGTTGGCACAGCATAACTCGTTGGTGGGCTCGATGACAATGCATAGATTTCATTTTGGATCCAGTCATAGACATGGCTGATTCGTACAAATCCAACCACAGTACGCCCAGTACAAGTTGCTCCCACACCAAAGGAAGCCACACCAACCTGAGTGACCAAATCAGCTCACTGTTATCTTTGACGCAATCTTGTACTTAAAATCCATCTTGGCCACAGTGCTGCTCATTCCTCTTATTTTAGCATCTTGCACTGTGCTGGAATTCTGTTCTCAGAACACTCTCAATCCGGTGCCTTCATCTAATAAGAAGCGCATTTTAGCCACCCAATTTACCGGTGTGCTTGTGCGTGATGGTCTTGTGCAAGAGCCTCTACAGTCCGATGCAGGTGCCTACTCTTAACTCAGCTTTGCGTCAAATGATCTTGATGTTGCCTATAGATTCGTACGGTACATTGCGTCATAATCAACTAGTGTTTACGCAAATGCTTAACGAAAGTGCACCGAGAACAGAACATTCTTTACTATTGAACAAGATTCTTATGGGTGCGCCTGCTTCAACATGCAAAAGGCAAAAATTGGCCATAACTCCATCAATTCTTGGCCGATTCAGCTAATCTTTGAAACGATAAGATGTCTGTATATACTGATTAGATTGGTGACTACATCATGTCTCCACTACATGCACTGAGATAGCACGAGGATACCGGAATAAGGGGCAACATGTCCGCCATGGTGCCAAAATGGAGTTATCTCCATTTGGTGAGGACCCACAGAGGTGGCTACCGCAGCCCTTGAGATAGCAGAGTGGCCGACTATTGTTGCAGAAGAGTTCATTGGCCTGTGTGGCAAGTCATAGATTGGTTAGTGGCTCCATGGCAAGCTGAGGAAGGCGACAAGTGTGGAGGTATCTCCAAAAGCGACTTACCTGCTCATTCTTCGTCCTCTACATCCTCATCAAGGCCACAATGTAAAGCTTCCAACAGCTGCTCCTCAAAGAAAAGACATTCATTGATCTTGTCAACAGACGCACCAACCTCCACAATGATCTGTAGGTACTCCAGGCCTTCATCATTGTTGTTGAAGTTAATAGTACGGAGAAGATAATGTTTGCATTTTCTCTTTTCACTCAACCCTTGCTTGCGAAGGTGCTTGTAGATGCAGCTGACCGGAAGCAACAATGGAGCATAAAATGGATCTCCTTTCATTGCCATGTGCGTCTGCTTCACATGAGAGAAGCCATTAATGTAGAGCCAGTGGAGTTGTGTACATAGATCCGAACTGCTCCAAATAGAGCTCCCCTTGTATGTGATCTCCCTCTGGACAGAAGACGTGTTTGAATCGCAATGACACACCAGTGAGTTCAACCGGAGCTCCGTCGACATCTTCGATGAGTCTCCAAGCCACTGTGTTACTCGCTGGAGCCTCCATTGAATTCGGTGATGGAAGGGAGGCAATGGTGTTGTTACCAGTCTTCTCAAGAACAGGGTTCTTGTCGCAACAGTAGGAAAGAGCGACATCCTTCAAGTAATCCTCCGCGAACGCATCCAATACGTAGCCAAGTCCAACAAAGCAGAGCCTTGCATAGAAGAGAAGAGCAATACCAGCAGCAGCAATCAAGCTGAAGCATGCTGGTGCTATCCAGCTGACAGCAACAGCAGCAACAGATACAGCATCGAACGACGACAACATGGCTCCTTTCGAGAGATAACAACAAAGCAAGAGAGTGAGCCAAAGGAGATAACAGACTGGACTCGCCGTGTGTTAGATTTGGCGGGCTCCTTGTCGACTTACTCTCACTGTCAGACAATTCAATCCACTCAAGAAGCTTTTTGAGCATTCAAATCAATTTCTTCACCAGAAACACTTGAAATTGTTCGCGAGAGTAACGGTAGGCATGCTCAAACTCAATCCAACCAACAGTCAACGCATCGTGCCCCCATAATTTCTCCAGCAGCCACACTGGAAGCAGAAAGCAATCAAGTCATTCCGAGTCATCGATTCTACCAACGTCATTGTCTCCTTTGAGGGCGATGGCGTTGACCCCTATTTCAAGCTCACCGCGAAGGTCCACGATAGCAGCTTCCAGTTCTCTCATTCAAGTCGATTTCCATGAGATTGGAGAATCCGTTCCTGTGACTGTCCTTCCCCATATGAACATCCTTCCTCGCCAGACTGCGGCTCGCAACCAGGCTGCTGCTCCGACTGCGGCGACAGCAACGACTGTGGCGACAGCTCAAACCACTGGTAATACCGTGGACTTGAACACGTCCATCGAGAGCAACAGCTCCTCAAGTACCGAGTCGAGGGATTTGCTAGCGGAGGATGGGGAGAATCTTTCTGTCTCCTCTGAATCCTCTGAAGAAGTGGTGATTCCAGCTGCCACCACGACGGCTCGTGATGTGGCCAATACTCGTGCCACATCTAAGAAGCGCATTTTAGCCACCCAATTTACCAGTGTGCTTGTGCGTGATGGTCTTGTGCAAGAGCCTCTACAGTCCGATGCAGGTGCCTACTATTAACTCAGCTTTGCGTCAAATGATCTTGATGTTTGCCTATAGATTCGTACGGTACATTGCGTCATAATAAGCAAGGCTACAACTAGTGTTTACGCATATGCTTAACGAAAGTGCATGGAGAACAGAACATTCTTTACTATTGAACAAGATTCTTGTGGGTGCGCCTGCTTCAACATGCAAATGGGCACATTCTTTGTGCACCAAGCTATAAACAGTTTTCGCAATCGGCATTCATTTTCCTTATGCCCCTTGGACTGACCGCATTCTGCGCTTTATCCAAAGGCAAAAACTTTGGCCACCCCTCAAATCTTTTCCAGTTGCACAAAATAAACACGCACGATGGTTGTTGGAGGAAACATACCTGACACCTCTTTACTATTGACTCGTGTATTAATCAATCTAGTCCGGTTCGCATGCAAATTCATCATGCAAGGAACCGAGGGAGTTTTAGGTCTAAAGTGTTACGGGGGTCCTTATATCCAATTCAATCACAAGAATTGCTATGCACCACCAGAAAATCCTCACTTTTGCTTTTCAGCTAATCAAACCAAATTACTCCCCAATAAGCTGCAGTATTACTAGCAAACAACACTGAAAAGCAAAAGCTCCATCTCGAGTTCGAAGTCAACTGTCTCGAGAGAGTATATCAAGTTGACATCAAGTCAATCAAGACTATCAAGTGAGTTAACACCTGCAACAGAGAAGAGGTGCGCAGAATAAGGCTCTAGCTACACTATAAAGGATACCAAACAGCTCTAACAGGATAGAGGTGCGTGCGCGGGAATTCCCATCTTCACGCATACAAGGTACGATACGATCGATCAACAGTTTCGGCCGGAACTGGAGAGATCTACGTACACCAGTGATCAAGGAGAACAAGCTACACGGATTGTCCGCTGGAAGCAAGGAAATCCGGCTGTTATTCACCGAGTTGAAGAGGATTACGTCATCGTGTCATCGCGAGTGATTTTCTCCGTCCATCACAACGAGCAGAACCATCGAACGGCGACTAAGATAAGTCGCGACACAGGCTGTGGAGGAAACATACCTGACACCTCTTTACTATTGACTCGTGTATAAACATCTAGTCCGGTTCGCATGTAATTGATCATGCAAGGAACCAAGGAGTTTAGGTCTAAAGTGTTGCGGGGTCCTTATATCCAATTAATCACAAGAATTCTATGCACCACCAGAAAATCCTCACTTTGCTTTCAGCTTAATCTAAAACCAATTACTCCCCAATAAGCTGCAGTATTACTAGCAAATAACACTGAAAAGCAAAAGTCCTTCTCGAGTTCGAAGAATCAACCGTCTCGAAGATAGTAAGTCAAGTTGACCTAAAGAGATCAAAGTGTATTAGTCAAAGTGTATTGAGTTAACCTGCAACAGAGAAAGGTGCAAAGAATCAGCCTCTAGCCTCACTATCAGAGCATCGAAACACCTCTAAACGAAAGAGGTGCGTGCGCGGGAAGAAAATCCATCTTCAGTCACAGGTACCACGTACGTGAGATCAACTGTCAGTTTCGGCCGGAACTACAGCGATCCAAGCTACCAGGTGATCAAGGAGAACAAGCTACACGGATTGTCCGCTGAAGCAAGGAAATCCGGCTCTTATCCAGTGAGAAATCTTCAATCGCGCGAAATCAGGAGTTCGATACGTCACATCACACGAGCAGAAGCCATCGAACGGATCAAGATAGTCGCGACACAGACGTTGCAAGCAAGAGACGTCATACATCAATCGATAGAGGATCTCTAGCCGCAACGTTGAGTATCAGTGCAAGCTTCTAACTCCAAAAATTGAGCGAGATAGCTTGATTCGAGTCATACAGTGCTAGTGTGACAGTGAAGCACAAAAATCCCGGTAACGACTCGGAGCTCTGAAACTCCTCTGTTTGACTAAACGACGCATTGAAACTCACTCAGTGTACTTATCCAAGCATACCAAGACCATCTGCAAGCTTTGCAGAGCAACAAAGGACAACAGAGGCAGTTGCTACTACCAAGGCTCCACACAAGAACAAAAAACCACGAGTTCCTCTGGAATTACGTGAGCTGTTGAATCAACAGAGGCTATCCAGCCACAACAGGTGCACCAAGAGTGACAAAAAGAAGGCTATCCAGCCAACAAGAAGCTTTTACAGCAACTACAGAGTAGTAGTGCCCGTCGTGAGATCTTCCTGCAGGAGTATCCACACAAGAACAGTTCCACGAGAAACAAGCTAGTTCCAAGGACAAGCAAGCACAAGAGTGCATTACCACACCAACGCAACCATGAGATCCAAGGAAGAGGTGGTCGTGGTGGAGGAAGATACCCTTCTAGGGGGGGTAGGGGATTAATTCCTCAGGAAAAAGCCATCAAGGAAGAGGCACAGTAAGGAACCAGAACAAGGTTCCAAGCGTCAGTTCCTCTTCATCAATGGACAGGCTGACACCGGTATTATCCTTTTGAAGGGACCCTGACACCATTGTCCAGGATCTAAGGATCAAGCTGAGTGGAATGATGTGCCACTGGCTTCATTGCCATTGAGACCATGACAAGTCAGGCACCTACCAAGCCGACCAAGCCAACACTCCAGACATCACTTGCTGATCCCAAAGCCCAAGAGTACGATGCTTTGGAACTGAGCGAGTACAAGGCAAAGTCATCCATCTATGACAACGACTCGATCCTATGGAACATTCTCAAGACAGGTGCAACCACCATCCAGGTGACATACTGTACCGAGCATGAAGTCCAAGCTTCGAGGTTCTAGGAGACTACGAGGCTGTGGAAAGATCGTCCCTCATCCTACAACGGACGCCACCACGAGCCCAAACCCTATCTCCCCCCTGCCCAGTTAGCTGGGCATCTGCCACTCCTGTGTTCGTGCTCTGCCACTCCTGGTCAAACGCAAACTTTGATAGGTGATGTTTCTTCGACTGAGAGTGAGTCTTGTTGCTTGGAAATCTTCATACAGTTGCCTCGCTGTTTCTCCCGTTGACGCCGGTTGGGTCCACGGTTACAAGCAACGAAATTCATTCTCTGTATCGAGCTGTAGTCGGAACAGAGCTCTGATATCGTACTTGGCCATTCCGATGGATGACTCCTTCGAATTGATCTGTGTTGAAGACGGTGTCAGGGTGGGACAAGAATAAGGACGACCGATGATGCGGATATCTAAGTAGGCTCGCTAATATCTCAAGTCGTCTCATCACTCGTCACCGCGTGTCTTTTGATGGATGGACAGTTAGTTCAGCGATCCATGCATATCACCCAGTCTGAATTGGTACTTTCAGCAAGTGATCTGGCCCGTAGTCCAGTGATGCCATTCTCATAATGATCATCCTGCATCATTGTCCTGCTAGTACTTCAAGTGGAGTGCAAGTGGCGGACCACCTAGATGCCATTTGCGCTTAAGCATCTGTGCGAATGCTCCGTCACACGTCAGAGTGGCAGGCTATACGTACTTCGTTTCCCAGCCTCACTGTCGTTGGTTGATCATCTCTGCCATCAGGGGCGGGACTCCATCGACTTGATGGTGCTGAAAATGAACTGTAGTGACCCTGCCGCGCTGGCCTGGGAGCTTGGCTTGACATGGGGAACTGTTGAAAGTTCGACTGGCTCGTAGGAGGTGGAGGGACTCCACTGAATCCACTCCTGCTCGAAGAGTCTCCAGCTGGAGCTGGAGCTGGCGCGTCACCACTGTGGTAGGCACTCCTTGAGCAGCTGCATCTGATGTTGATGGTACTGCTGGCATGAAGGATTTCTTCATGCCATTTGAATTTGTTGATTGCCCACTCGGGCTTGGGAATCTTGGACTTGACCTTGCACTGTGGAAGTTTGTGATCTGGGCTTCCACAACAGTAGCAGGCTTCGCCTGGCTGGGACTGGCTGATAGAAGACAGCAGCTGGGAGCCCTTCCTTCATCTTCTTGGTATCAAAAGGAGGTGGCTTGGGATTGGAATATGGCTTCCGGTCCTTGGCCTTCCTTTGGTCCAGCCATTCCTTGCTGGGCTTGAATCTGTCATTGGACAGCGTCTCTCTAAGATGATCAAGGGTATCAGGGAATTGGATGGTACCGTTCATTGCATAGGCTCCTCAACAGTCTTCTGGTAATCTCCTATCTTCCCTCTTGTAGTCCATGGTAGGCCACGGTTGCTTTCAACCTAGCCCTTTCCGTCACTAGTATCTTTTCCTGTGCGTCGTGATCTGGTGCGGCCTTGTATTCAGCCAAACCGATAGTCCTGACATCAATGACCTCTGTTCCGACAGGTCATACACTTGATCCACGTGCTGTCGACCTTTCTCAATAGTAGTCAACTCTGTCATGGTCGCCTTGCTTTGGGAACAAGCACGTTGGATGGTCTTGATTTATTAGCAATGGGAACTCTTTGTGTTGAGCCTTGCATCACTATCAATCTGATCCTCTTGAGCAACTCAATGGGATCCAGCTTGACTGAAT